AAGAAATGGGCAAGCGCAAGGTCGTGAGTTTGGTTCCTGGTACTAGAGAAAAACCAAAAAGAAAAGAAAAGAAAAGAAATGCCTGACTTTTCCCCAAAGCATTTATGGCATTTTACATTCCTGCTAACAAACAATATGTTAGAATTTCATTGCTCTTTCTCTTCACTAATATGTAAAGTTGTCAGTCTTTAATTTTAGCCATTTTGTAAGATATATTTATTTTAATATTCATCATTTTGATTATGGATACCCTGTGTCTATTACCATCAATAATAATTTGGACAGTCTTAGGTGTTTCTATCCTAGTGATAAAGTTAAACGGGTTCACTATGCAGTCAGTTGTGACACCATCTTCACATTTGATGTCTGGCACTTCTGAGTTCACTTTGACTTCTGACACAACTTGCGTGTTTGAAGGCCTCAAGACCACCTCAGATTCAGTAATTTGCCTGAAGGACTCTCAGAGTTGTTATGACTTACTTCAGCAAAAGGACCCAGTTTGAAATCGGCCAAGGGAAGAGGTGCTTAGAGTTCCAATAACAGAGCTTCCAGTTGTCCTCTTTCAGTAGAATTGACAGAAAAATGCATGGCAGTACATTCAGTGTATTGTCAATTAGAGAAATTTACCTGAGCATTGGTGTGCTGAGATTTTATTTGGGCTCGGTTACTTAGACATGATGATCATGTTACTAAAGTAGCGCCTCCTAGAAGCTTAGTTGGTACTGTTTGGTCCAAAGCTATCTTCAGATTCCTAGCATATCACATTATAGCATGAACTGTTTAATGTGGTGCAAGGACCCTAGGTAAATAAAAATACTCTTATCAAGCAGGATATTCCAAGGATTTAGAGACTATCTCCCAGAGGCCAGAAACAGTAGAAGGTAACACTTCTCTGGGCAGGATTAATTCTGTATGGTATACTCATATACTCTGTTTTTAAAAAGCTAATGTGTGAAAATGGTTGCATTAAAACTTGTATAACCTATGACCAAAGTCAAGAAGCTTAACTTATTAATAATACTTATTAAGGTATTTCATCTAAATTTATGAAGAGTCTGAAGTCTTTTGTCAGTTGTTCTTCCTTTGTTAATTTAGCAAACATTTATTAAACATCTGCAGTGTTCTGGCATTGTGCTACACATGTAAATACAAAGATATGAAGCATATTTATTGTTTTTAGAGATCTCCACAGTCACTTAAAAAGTGAGGCCTAGGTTGTGGATGAACTTCGTAGAGATGAGGACACACTAAGTAGTCAGCTCCTGCTGGTCTCCTATGCCATGTTAATGAAACTGCTGAGGAATAATTTCTTAAGTGTAATCAGGAGAATGGCTTGATTAGATTGTTTTTAGAAAATTATTCAAAACATTGGATTTTATTAAAGATTTAATCTTCATAGGGATTTATTCTTATTCCTTTCTAGATAATATGGAATTTATATTTTTTCATATTAGTGCATGAGTTAATTAAAAATTACTTTTTCCCATTGCAGCATAAAAGACTACTATGAAGAGCCAAAATTAAAATTTCATTCTGTGTCATATATAGAAATGTAACTGAATTTTGTGTGTGACTTTGTATCTTTTTTACTTTACTGAATTCATTTATTCTAATAGGTATTTAATAGTTCTAATAGGAATCTTTAAGATTGTGCTTGATCTCAGAGGTAAAGTTTTCAATTCTTTATAGTTGAGTATAATGTTGTAGGTTTTTCATATATGACTTTTACTATGTTGAAGTAGTTTCCTTCTGTTTATAGTTTGTGTTTTTATCTTGAAAGAATATTTAGTTTTTAAATGCATTTTCTATATCAATTGAGATGTCCGTGTAGTTTTTTTTCTTCATTCTGTTGCAGTGATCAATTTTTGTATGCTGAATCCTTGCATTTCAGGAATAAGTCCCACTTGATCATGATGTATAGTTCTTTTAATGTGCTGCTGGATTTGATTTGCAATTTTTTTGTTGAGGACTTTTGCTGTCAGTGTTCATAAGGGAAGATGATCTTCAGTATCAATATGATACATGTCCATAGAAAAAGTTAGAGATTATTTTTTTCCCGTTAATATTTTTAGAAATGTTTGAGAATAATTCATGATCTTTAAAAGTTTAATAAAATTCACCAGTGAAACCATCAGGTCCAAGGCTTATTTTTGCTGGAATATTTTTGATTCTTTATTTAATACTAATTATAGATCTGTCAGATTTTCAGTGTCTTTGTGGTTTAGCCTCAGTAGGGCTGAGAAGGCAATGACCCTTTAAATTCTCTAGAAGTCACTGAGGTCAAAGGGAGAGGGACTTGCATAAAAATGAGGGAGACTGAGCAACAATGGTTGCCCTGTCTTTGTACCTCTACCGTCAGAATTCGCAGTATCAGTCATAGCATAATCTTAGAGACAGGTTTCATTTTGTCCATCCTAGCTCTGTTTGGTGTTTGCAAGCTGCTCCTGGAGTGAAATGCATGACTGCATGCCGCAGACTTAGGCGTAAAGGGTGGTGGTTCCTACTGTCCCGATTGAAATTGGATCAAATTAAATCACTATTATCTAAGCCTTTCCCTGGAAGTAGGATTCCTGCAATTGACTCCCTTATTCCAAAGTGGGTAGATGAGACAGGCTGTACCAGTGATTTTGTTGTCTTGATGGAACACAAATTCCTGGAGCTTCCTATCTCAGCATTTTCCCAGAATCTTCTCTGCTTGCTTAACCCTTGAATGTACTGGAGATATTTATTATATAGAATCTCATTTCTTATAGATAATCTAAAATACTCCTAAACACGCATGAATTTTTAGATTTAAAGTCTTTCTCCCTTTGTATTTTTAATATTAAGAAGTTAGTCACTCAAGACAAATAAGGTAAGATTTTAAATAGTTGCTTTTTTTTTTTTGTCTCTTTGAGACATTGTCTCGCTATGCAGTTCAGGCAGGCCTTGAGCTCATTTTGTAGCCCTGGCTGCTCTTGAACTCGCAGTGATCCTCCTGCCTCAGGCTACTGAGTGCTGGGATTACAGGTATGCACCACCACACCTGGCAGTAGTTACATTTCTTAAATCATGTTGGTAAGTCTAAATACCTTTTCAAGTGTTAATTTTGGCATCTTGCCTTTTTTCTATTTCAGTGTACTGTCTTACTCTTTCTACTTCTTATGTCTCTGCTGTAGTGCAATAGGATCTGCTTTTTTCCCTCGAGAACTTTTATTTATAGAACAAATTTTAACACTTAGCTAGGCTTAGAATTTCAGATATTGTCTCTCTGTCTGTCTGTCTATGGCAATACTGAGAATTGAACACAGGATCTTTACACTGAGTTTACACTGCCTCTCTCCATTTTTAAATTTTGAGACAGGGTTTCACTAAGTCACTAAATTGTCCAGTCTGGGCTTGAACTTGTTATCCTGTTGCCTCAACCTCCTAGAATGCTGGGATTACAGGTGTATGAATCGAATATTACCTTGCACTCTCCTGTATTTATCTGGGTGCTGACTTCCACAATTAGAAATACACTCATAAGTTTTGGTTGAGCTAGGCATGGTGTTACACACCTGTAATCCCAGCATTCAGGAGGCTGAGGCAGGAGAATCACCATGAGTTTGAGACCAACCTGGGCTACATAGTGAGTTTAAGGCTGGCCTCAACTACATAGTGGGACCCTGTCTCAATCCTCCCTCCCCCACAAAACTGGGTTGAAATGAAAGTGGGTGTGTGTATGTTTTATGGGGTGCAGTGATTTTTTTCAGCACAGATTCCTAGCATATAACAGATAAGTCTTTAATTCAGAATATTCAAGGTAAATTGCCAATATTACCATATTTTGTTGATTCTGTACTGCCTGTGGTTTATAAGGTTGACTATTAATCTTATTAAGCATTAAAATAGGAGAAAATACTGCCAGTCATAAAGATTCATCTCCATATCATAAAATTACCAAAAGTTTTAAAGAGACAAGGTCTCACTATGTTTAGATAGAACTAGAAATCCTGGGTTCAACCCAGGTAGGGTGGTGTACACCAGCTCTTAGGAGGCTGAAGTAGGAGGATCACAAGTTTAAAACCAGTCTGAGCTACATAGCAAGTGTGAGACCTCAGTCTGGACTAAATAGTGAGACTCTACCTCAGAAACAAAAACCACAGAAAACAAACAAACAAAAAACTAAGCGTGGTGGTGCATTCCTATAATCTCAGTACTTGGGAGTCTGAGGCATGAGGTTCGCTGCAAGTTTAGGCCTGCCTTGGGTTACATAGTGAGCTCAAGGCCAGCCTGAAGTACAGTGCAAGATCCTGTCCCAAATCACCCCTGCCCCAAAAGAAAGAAAGAAAGAAACAAACAAACAAACAAACTGGGCTCAAGCAGGTCTCCTCCCTCAGTCTCCCAAGTACCTGGGACTACCTGTGTGCATCACTGTGCCTGGCCATAAATGTTAATATGTGAAAAGTATGAACCTTAGAATCTACAAAATTATACACGTATGGAAAGTATGTTCTCAGCACACCACATGTGTAGCCACCTTATGCTTTGTTTGCAAAAAACTATAATAAAGGAAACAGTTTGATGAATTCTCATGTTGAGGTGATCAAAATTTTTTCACCTTGTTTTCTGTAGTTTTCTTTGTGTTATTGAGTTCAGTAACCTTTCTGTAACCATATGATGTAGTAGCCATTCTTCCAACAGTTGCCAACACTTACGTGAGATTTACTGTGTGCTAGATGCTTTTGACAACTTTCTATATTTCAAATAACTAAATTTTAGAGTATTTTTATGAAATGAGTTCTGTTTTTATACCCATTTTACCAAGGAGGAAACAGGCATAGGGAAGTCAAATGACTTGTCTAAGATCATACCTGTAAGTGGTAGAGCTGGGCTTTGAATGTGGATTGTCTAACTGCGCTAAGCACATAAAGATGAATAAAATACATTTCCCAGGCGATATTTGAAGGTGTGTTGATAAATTTATATGAAATTATTAAGTTATGTTTTTGGTAATTAATTTTTATTTGTATTTTTAGGACATTCAGTCAGAAGAGGGCTGCTATTGAAAGAGAGTATGCACAGGTAAGCTTGGAGTTGGAGGTCCTCATACTCGGTGTACTTAAGGGCAGATGTGGTTGTCAGAGAGAACCTTAGCATCTCCCTTTTCTTCTCATTTGTAGTTACTGTTCTTTGATTCCCCTTATGTTTCATTTGAATATTTAACTGAGGAGCTAAGGTGCTCCTTTTTACAAAGAAGATTTTGAACCTGCTGCTAGAAGATATTATGGACAAATTTTTGTAAAATATCTAAGAGGATGAATGATAATAAATATATCGCACAAGTATATTTATTCATTCTCATTTATGTACCCTATTCTCTGCAGTTAATGAAAGGTTAATTTTTATATTCATTCTGGGTTTTAGTTCTCATTACAGGCCTATTGTAGAGGGTGATATGCTTTCAGTGGATAATATGGAGCCTTATCTAGGGAAGTTTAAGTGTTTCCTTCTTTAATTTTAATTAGACCCTTATTTGTTCTCCCCTAGCTAAATACTGCAAGAAGGATTATATTGCTATATCATCTTGTGGATGTGTGAGAATCAGAAGTATTCTATGTACAAAAATAGTTTAACATGACTTGAAAATTTTGGCCTTTTTAAGCAGTTACTTTCTGTGTGCGGTAACATTCTAGAGAGTTGCCCCTCTTGAACCTCAACAAATTTTAAAACTCACATTTGCAGCAAAAATTTAAAATACAAGAGAACATTAGAGGGAACAGTTAACATGCAATATATATTCTACATGTAACCATTACTACTGCTGCTGCTGCTAATTCTTTTTATAAATAATGAGTTTATGGCATACTTTTCTTTTTTTTAATACTTTTTTAGTTTTAGCTTTAATTTTACTCAAATTGATCAGATAGATGTCAGTTTTTTTATTTGACAATCTTAGAATTATCTGTTCCTTAAAAGCTAGATAAAATTGATTTAATCAGTAGCTGTTGAGTGCTTATGTGCCAAATGCTTCACATAATATATACTACCAGTTCTAATATTTTTGTTGACCCTTTTTTCTATGTGTCTATAATAAATATTAGCAATAATAGTTAAATGTATTGAATCTTTACTTTGTACCGGGTTTTGTGCTAAGTATTTTATATGTTACCTAGTTTATTCCTTTCAATAAATAGGAAAACATTTTCATACCCTTCACAGATGTTTTCAGACTCACAAATATGCTTATATATAATATATACATATTTATAAAATTGGGATGAACATCCATGATATACTTTTAAAAATAAAAGTATTAAGTAAAAATTTCAATGGCATTCTGCTGTAATAAGATTCAAAAATTTTTTTTTTTTTTTTTTTTTTTTTTTTTGTTTTTTTCCGGTACCGG